GGCGCCTGTGGGCCCAGCTACTTGGGAGGCTGAGGCAGGAGACTCACTTGAGCCCAGGAGTTGGAGGTTGCTGTGAGGTGTGATGCCACAGCACTCTATCCAGGGTGACAGCTTGAGGCTCTGTCTCAAAAAAATAAATAAATAAATAAATAAAAATTAAAAAAAAAACTATCCTATACCTTGGTTACCTTGATTGTGGTATTAGATACATGAATCTACACAGATGATAAAATTGCTAAGAATTTCCTGCCCTCCTCCCTCAACACACACAATTCCATGTAAAACTAGAAAAATCTGAATAAGCTCTGTACGTTGTACCACTGTCAGTTTTCTGGGATTGATATTGCACTATCGTTGTGCAAGATGTTACCACTGGGAGGACCTGGGTGAAGGGTACATGAAACCTCATTCATTTTCTTTGCAACTTCCTGGGAACCTAAAATCATTTTCTTTTTTTGAGACAGAGTCTCATTTGTCACCCTTGGTAGAGTGCTGTGGGATCACAGCTCACAGCAACCTCAAACTACTGGGCTTAAGCAATTCTCTTGCCTCAGCTTCTGAAGTAGCTGGGACTATAGGTGCCTGTCACAATGCCTGGCTATTTTTAGAGACTGGGTCTCTCTCTTACGCAGGCTGGTCTCCAACCTGTGACCTCAGGCAATCTACCTGCCTCGGCCTCCCAAGTGCTGGGATTACAAGCATGAGCCACCATGCCCAGCCTAAAATTATTTCAAACTAAATAGTGTTTTTAAAAAGCTAATGTCCTGGCTCGGCACCTGTGGCTCAAGTGGCTAAGGCACCAGCCACATACTCCTAAGGTAGTGGGTTCGAATCCAGCCTGGGCCCACCAAACAACAATGATGGCTACAACCAAAAAACAACCGGGCCATTGTGGTAGGCGCCTGTGGTCCCAGCTACTTGGGAGGCAAAGGCAGGAGACTCGCTTGAGCCCAGGAGTTGGAGGTTACTGTGAGCTGTGATGCTATAGCACTCTACCCAGGTGGACAGCTTGAGGCTCTGTCCCAAAAAAAAAAAAAAATAGCTAATGTCCTATGATTTCACAAATGTTTACATATATTAAAACTGATCAAATTATACACTTGAAATGTATGCAGTTTATTGCACTTCAATTATATTTCAATAAAGTTGGAAAAAAGAAAAAAGTGAATGACTTCATAATTACAACTGCTTATTAAAACATCTTTACTCTTTCTCCTTATCAATCTAATTAAGGCAATATTGATAGACACAGAGGCTCCAATTGCATCTGCTTATATCACCCTACCCAAAATATACAAAGAACAATAAATTAACTTTTTTTCTTTTAAGCCAAAAATAAAACTTGAGCCAGGCACGGGGGCTCACCCCTGTAATCCTAGCACTTGGGAGGCCAAGATGGGCAGACTGCTTAAGCTCAAGAGTTGGAGACCAGCCTGAGCAAGAGTGAGACTTCTTCTCTAAAAATAGCCAGGCTGAGATAAGAGGATCACTTGAGTCCAAGAGTTTGAGGTTGCTCTGAGCTATGATGCCATGGCACCCTACCAAAGGTGACAAAGTGAGACTCTATCTCAAAAAAAATCAATAAAATAAATAAAACTTCAAAGGCAAAACCTTTGTGTGGCACCAACAAATTGCGGCTAGCATAAAGAACATATTTTAATTGCATTCTTCTGGCAATACCAGATTCTACCTGCTTTTCCTTTTTTCTACCTCCTAATATTTTTTTCCCTTGGATAGTCCAGGTAGATTGTCATTCAGGTAGATTGAAGAGGTATCATCAAATCCTCCTGCATCAGTCTCCTGAGTAGTTGGGACTCCAAGCACACACCATGACCCAGTTAACTTTTTTTTCTTTGAAACAGTCTCACTTTGTTGTCCTCTGTAGAGTGCTATGGGGTCATCACTCACAACTACCTCAAACTCTTGGGCTCAAGTGATCCTCTTGCCTCAGCCTCCCAAGTAGCTAGGGCCCACCACAATACCTAGCTATTTTTGGAGATGAAGGTCTTGCTCTTACTCAGGCTGGTCTAGAACTTGTGAGCTCAAGTGATCCACCCACCTGGGCCTCCCATAGTGCTAGGATTACAGAAGTAAGTCACCGCACCCAGCCTACCTTCTCATAAAACAAAGACTGCCATAATTTGAAGTAGTCAGTTTTGAGAAGATTCATTTTAAAATAAGATTTAATAATATCCTAAATTTAATCTCAGTTGAATAACCTTATAAGGAGATGATGTTATTCGTTCTCCGAATAGTACTTGTCAAAGTTTTCAGAAGGTCTTTTCTTTCCAGAGTCGTGGCAGAAGTCAAAGCTAAAAGAAGAGAAGTTCAAGTACAATAAAAACATAAGTAAACAAAAGTCTTTGTAATTCATCTAGCCTCTCCACTGTTAATGGCATTGCTTTTTTTTTTTTTTTTGAGACCAAGTCTCACTTTGTCACCCTCAGTAGAGTTCAGTGGCATCACAGCTCACAGCAACCTCCAACTCCTGGGCTTAGGCAATTCTCTTGCCTCAGCCTCCTGAGTAGCTGGGACTATAGGTGCCTGCCACAATGCCCAGCTATTTTTTGTTGCCATTTGGCCAGGGCCAGGTGTGAACCTGCCATCATCGGTATATGGGGCCAGTGCCCTACCCACTGATCCACAGGCACTGACAGTCTCAAACTATTGTCCTGGGTAGAGTACCATAGCGTCATAGCTCACAGAAACTTCCAACTCTTAGGCTCAAGTTATCCTCTTGCCTCAGTTTTTCTATTTTAGTGGAGATGAGGTCTTTTGCTCAGGCCGGTCTCAAACTCGTGAGCTTAAGCAATCCATCTGCCTTGGCTTCCCAGAGAATGGCATTGCTTTTAAAAAGATGACCCAGGAGTACATAATTACAATCTATAGAACTATTTTTTTTTTGTGGTTTTTGGCTGGGGCTGGGTTTGAACCCACCGCCTCCAGCATATGGGGATGGCGCTCTACTCCTTTAAGTCACAGGCATCACCCAAGATCTATAGAACTCTTTATAGATTGCTCTTTAGATTATTTAACCTCTACAAATTATGAATTCATACTTAAAATGCCTATGTTACTACTTTTAACTTTTTAAATATAGGTAATCACAATCTCTAAAAAAAAAAAAAAAACAGTGTTTTCCAAGTCAAACTTCAAATTACATAAAAATAGGTAAACTTTAAAACCTGTGTAATTCTAACTTGAGAGATTTAGAAACTGTAATTATTGGTTCTGATCAAAGGAAAACTTACAGAACAGTCTTCCCCAAACACATCCCCACACACTCACAAATCAAAAGCTTACTAGGTAAAAAGAATAATGACTACCTTTTAGTAAATTTGAATATAAAATGGCTAAAGTAAAAGATAAAATAAATGGTAGTCTTACATAATTTTTTTTTTGAGACAGAGTCCCACTCTGTGGCCCTGGGTAGAGTGCCATGGCATCATAGTTCACAGCAACCTCAAGCTCCTGGGCTCAGGCAATCCTCTTGTCCCAGCCTATAGGAGTTGGCCACAATGCCTAGCTAGTTTTTGATTTTTAGTAGAGACACTCTTGCTCAGGCTAGTCTTGAACTCCTGAGCTCAAGCAATCCACCCGCTTCTAGAGAGCTAGGATTATACATGTGAGCCACTGTGCCAGCCAGTCTTATATAACATTTTTTTTTTTTTGAAGACAGAGTCTATGTCACCCTTGGTAGAGTGCCCTAGCATCATAGCCCATAGCAACCTCAAACTCTTGGGCTTAAGCCATTCTCTTGCCTCAGCCTCCCAAGTAGCTGGGACTACAGGCACCTGCCATAACCCCTGACTATTTTTGTTGTTGTTGTTGTTGCAGTTGTCATTGTTATTTAGCAGGCCCGGGCCCACTCAGCATATGTGGCCGGTGCCCTAAACACTGACTATGGGCGCCAAGCCATTGTATAACATTTTAATTACCCATACTAACACCCTATACATATACCTGGTATACTAATGAAAATCAGACTTGATTTCATTTCTTCTTAATGAGAGGAAATAAAGTAACCCCAAAGGGAACTACAATCATTTTTTCTAAAATGTACATCATTTACTCTTATTCTCATATGACTGATCATACTCAATCATTATCATATGATAAGTCCTCATTATTAACTAAGCACCTTCATCCATGAAAAACCTTAGTATAAAAAAAAAAACTTTAGTATAAACCTTATCTATTCTATGCTTTTTTTTTTTTTTAAGACAGGATCTAGCTCTGTCATCCAGGCTGAAGTGCAATGGTACCATCGTGGCTCACTACAGTCTCAAACTCCTAGGCTCAAGCTAGCCTTCTGCCTCAGCCTCCCAAGCAGCTGAGACTACAGGTGCTCACCACTACACTCAGCTAAGTTTTCTTATTTTTTGTAGAGATGGGGTCTTGCTATATCACCCAAGTTGGTCTCAAATTTTTGGCCTCAAGTAATGCTTGTGCCTTGACCTCCTAAAGTTCTAGGAATACAGGTGTTAGCCACTGCATCCAGCTATTCCATATTTTTAAAATAAGCAACAACTCTGCAAAGGTACTTTTTAAATATTTTTTTGTTTTTATTAATTCATAACTATGTGGCAGTAATGCATCTATGGGGTTGAGTGTACGGATTTGATATACAATGTGAAATGTTTACTTTGAACCGATTAACACATCCACCACAATTATACTCTTTTCTTAATAGTTTTGAACTGTACCATTGCATCATGCACATTAGGTGAGGTCCCCCCAAATATCCTCCCTCCTCTCGCCTCCCTCAAAGATACTTTTTTAAAAGTCCAATGTGTATGGCTTGGCACCCGTACCTCAGTGGTTAGGGCACCTGCCACATACACCAGGGCTGGCGGGTTTGAATCCAGCCTGGGCCTGCTAAACAACAATGACAACTACAACAATAACAACAATAACAACAAAAATAGCCAGGCATTGTGGTGGGCACCTGTAGTCCCAGCTACTTGGGAGGCTGAGGCAAGAGAATCTTTTGAGCCCAAGAGTTTCAGGTTGCTATGAGCTATGATGCCATGGCATTCTACGAAGGGTGGCATAGTGAGACTCTTGTCTCAAAAAAAAAAAAGTCCAAAGTGTAGAAAATTCATAATTTGCTTCTCTTAGAAAGAAAAATGAAGTATAACACATTCCTAATTTTTTAAGGCTTTGTCTCACAATGAAACCTCTCTGTTCTAATCAATTTTTCTTGTTACCTTTATTACCAAATTACTGCCACATTTCTTAATATACCTAGGGCTTTCATTTATTATCTTCAAAAATGTAAGGCACATTTTAATACAATTATAACATGCCATACTTACGTATCATATTCATAAGGTAGAACAGATTCCACTGAGTCCAATCTATTTACAAAGAGTGCTACTGAGGACTATGAGAAGGAAAAAGAGCATTAATTAATAACACAAAGTAAAATAAGGTAGCACTTGCAAAATACATAATGAAGTAAGTGAGAGGTAATTGGGCTATTGCCACCATCAATTTATAACTATACAGTTATAAATCTGTAATTTAGTATAGTTATAAATTTATAACTAAATTATAACTTAGTTATAAATTTGTAATTCAGTACTATTATACATTTTTAATACAATTTAACTATAAATTCATAACATTTCATTTATCTAGCATCATTGGGTTCTCTGAATACATAAATTTTTCAGATACCTCGGCCATTCTTAACCTTTTTTAAATTATAGAACTTTCTGAGAATATGATGAAAGCTGTGGCTAGTCTCCAAAAAAAACACACATATTCATCAAATTATCTGTTCAGTTTCAAGAGCTTTCCTGTAGTCCATGTAACTGAGATTAAGAACTTAAGAAAATTTGAGCGGCACCTGTGGCTCAGAGGGTAGGGCCCTGGCCCCATATAAGGAGGATGACGGGTTCGAACCTGGCCCTGGCCAGCTAAAACAGCAGTGGCAACTGCAACAAAAAAATAGTGGGGTGTTGTGGTGGGTGCCGGTACTCCCAGTTCCTCAGGTGGCTGACACAAGAGAATCACTTAAGCCCAAGAGTTGGAGGTTGCTTTGAGCTGTGATGCCACAGCTCTCTACTGAGGGTGACAGAGTGAGACTCTCTCTTAAAAAAAAAAAGAGAGAACTTAAGAAAATTAAAGCTGGGTAGCACCTATGGCTCAGTGGGTAGGGCACCGGCCACATATACTGAGGGTGGTGGGCTCGAACCCAGCCCCGGCCAAACTACAACAAAAAAGTAGCTGGCATTGTGGCAGGTGCCTATAGTCCTAGCTACTTGGGAGGTTGAGGCAAGAGAATCGCCTAAGCCCAGGAGTTGGAGGTTGCTGTGAGCTGTGACACTACAGCACTCTACCAAGGATGATAAAGTAAGACTCTGTCTCTATAAAAAAAAAAAAAAAGAAAAAAAAAAGAAAATTAAATCTGCCTGTATTAAGTGGTTTTCTCAAATTATTTGAAACATTTTCATAAGACTCATGCTAAAATCCACTTTACTCTTTACTGTTTTTTTTTCCAGTTTTTGGCCAAGGCTGGGTTTGAACCCACCACCTCTGGTATATGGGGCCAGCGCCCTACTCCTTTGAGCTACAGGCACCGCCCCACTCTTTCCTATTTTTAAATTGGAATGGCTGGCAGGGCACAGTGGCTCACATCTGTAATCCCAGCACTTGGGAGGCTGAGGCAGGTGCATTGCCTGAGCTCACAGGTTCTAGACTAGCCTCAGCCAGAGAGAGACCCCATCTCTTAAAAATAGCCAGGTGTGGCTCGGCGCCTGTGGCTCAAGTGGCTAAGGCGCCAGCCACATACACCTAAGGTGGCGCGTTCAAATCCAGCCCGGCCCACCGAAACAATGATGGCTGCAACCAAAAAATAGCCGAGTGTTGTGCCGGGCAGCTGTGGTCCCAGCTACTTGGGAGGCTAAGGCAGGAGACTCACTTGAGCCCAGGAGTTGGAGGTTGCTGTGAGCTGTGATGCCACAGCACTCTACCCAGGGTGACAGCTTGAGGCTCTGTCTCAAAAAAAAAAAAAAATAGCCAGGCGTTGTGGCAGGTGCCTGTAGTCCCAGCTACTGAGGCAAGAGGATCACTTAAGCCCAAGAGTTTGAGGTTGCTGTGAGCTATGACGCCATAGCACTCTACCAAGGGTGCAAAGTGAGACTCTTGTCTAAAAATAAAATAAAATTGGAATGGTTTTGCTTATATTGTTAAGTTGTAAGAGTTTTGTATGTATTCTGCATACTAGATCCTTACCAGATACGTGATTTGCAAACATTTTCTCCCACTCTGTGGATTGTCTTCTCAGGTATTTGTTTTTCCTTTTTGTTTTGTTTTGTTTTTGAGACAGGGTCTCACTCTATTGAGTGGGTTAGAGTGCAGTGGCATCATCAAGGCTCAATCAACCTCAGACTCTTGGGCTCAAGTAATCCTCCTGCTTTAGCCTCCTGAGTAGCTGCGACTACACCACACCCAGCTAATCTTTCTATTTTTTCTTTTTTGGTAGAAATGGGGTCTGGCTATTCCTCAGGCTGGTTTGGAACTCCTAAACTCAACCAATCTACCAGCCTGGCCTCCCACAGTGCTAGGATTACAGGTATGAGCCACTATACCCCACCAAGCCTTTTTTATTAATACCTTTTCAATTGATTTCTCGCCAAGCAAGCAAACAAACAAACCTTTTTGAGTCAGCTTACAATTAAAATAAGCCAATGGTACTAAAGAAGAGAAGCAAAAAATTATTGGGGGATGGGGGGGGCACATCGAAGAGGAATTGTGCCAGAAATCTCTGCCTAAAGAAAACTGATGACCATAATAGTCACCACTTACTGAAAGCTTTCTATATGCCAAGTGCTATTAATAAGTGCTTGTCATACATTGTCTCATTTTATTCTCACGCGTCTCTAGAGGTAAACAATATTATCTTGGCGTTTGCAGAGGGAGGACCCAGGAGTTTCAAAGAGGATTAACAAGAAATAAATGGGTTAAAAGAAGAAGAAGATAGAAATGGGCAGAAGTATAAGACCCTAAGAGTGAAACATGACAGAAGCATGGTGAAGATATGTCTAAGAAATACCACAATGAGTTGAGTCCAGAAAGGGAGACTGGGGCGGGGGGAGGAGCACTGGAAATGCTGAGAGAGAAAGGGCGAAGGGTGGCGTTGAGGCTGCAGAGGAACGGCCAAAAGAGAGGGGGAGAGGGAGGAGCTGACGGGAAAATTGAGGGGAAGGGACCACAACCAGCTGAGAAGAGGAAGCGAGGGTCAAGGAGGGGTGGAGTTGGGAGAGGAGCCTAGAAGGAGGTGGCAGAACAGAAAGGGGCGGGGTAAAGAGCGGAGAAGGAAGTGAGGGAGAGGAGGCAAGAGGAGGGATGGACCTTAAGAGAAGAGGTAAGAGCCAAAAGGGAGTCAGACGACTACAAAGGGACGAGGTGAGGAGCTGAGGAGAGGGAATGAGCCGAACCAAGATGAGAGCGCGAAGCCGAGAGGATTGACACAACAGAAAAGGGGCGGGGTAAGGAACCAATTAGGGGAGGGAACAACATGGGGGCAGAGCTTAAGAAAAAGAGGCGGAGAGAAGCTATAAAAAAGGGAAGGGGCGGGGCTGGGAGGAAGGAGGAGACGCTGAGCCGGAGTTGTAGAAACCCAGAGGTTGAGGAAAGAAACCTGAATCCCCTAAGTGGGAGGTTCAGAGGCTGGGAGACCTTGAGACATAACCACAGAGAGAGCATTGTCATTCCGGGTCCTACTCGACCTGCTCGCGACCCTGGTTGGCTCCAGTGTGCCCAATTCCCCTACCCGAAGACTTCCCCTCTGGTCCTCACCTGACAGAATCCGATCTCTTCGACCTCCTCGCAAAAGTTGACCGGGGCCAACCCAGGGAGGTAGAAAGCCGTGCAAGTAGACAACTGAAACCCCAGGACCAGCCCCAGCCCCAGCAGCCACCTCAGTCCTGACAGGGTGTGCCATGGGCGCCAGAGGGTGGTTTCCGCGCGGAAACCACGAGTACTCATTGTAGGAGGCGGTTCAGGGGCTCAGGGACACATACCATGAAAGAAATCACAACCCCTGGAAGGGAGAAACAGAAATGACAGGGAAGGGCTGTAAACAGGGAAGAGCTCAGACCCGCTGGTGGGAGTAGAATTCACGGGAAGATCAGTTAGTCAGGGGCACCGGCTTGGAACCCGGTTGCTAGGGCGCCGTTTATTAGCACACGGAGTGCGCCTGCGTGAGTGCGGGTCCCGGCGGCGCCCTCCTCGCCCTCCCCCCGCAGCCGCCCCGCCCCTCCCGCGCTACCGGCGCGCGGTTCTGACGGAACCTCACGCTCCGGCCTCGGTGCATCCTCGCTGGGTCCCCGCGCGAGTGTGGGGAGTAAAGGGGCCTGGGAGAGGCCGAGGGAACGGAGGACAGGCTGAGAGGTCCCAACGTCGCAGGGGCTCGCCACCTCCCAAGATTGCTTTTTGGTCTCAAACTAGTAGTGTTGCTGCCCCAGTCTTCTTCATTTCTGCCTAAGGGCTTAGGGGGGGCGGCATGCTAGGAGCATGCGGTCCAGGAAGTTGGTAGGCACTCGAAGTGTGCCTGGTCCGAATTGGAGGTCCTATAGGTGTAAAATGCACAGAGGGTTTCAAAGACGAAAATGTAAAGTATATCTAATTGTGTTGATGAAGTTGAAATGATAATATTTATGGTCTTTTGCATCAAATAAAACATTCCTAAAACTAATTTCACCTGCTTGCTGTTTTTTTGAACTGTGACTGCTTGGAAATTTAAAATTTCATAGTATGTGGCTCGCATTGATACCGGAATTTTGTCTTCTCGATTATTTGAATCCATGGACCACGGATCAGTGGTGAGACAGAAAAGAATACAAAAACACCAAAGCTCCTGGCAGAGGGATCTCAGGTGGGGAGGGGGGACGCTCTCTTTCTGGGCTCTTTTGTATAGGGGTATATAGCGTCGCAATTCCCAGGAATTGGGGCCTAGGAAACTTACATGAAATTGACCTAGGCGCGGTAGCTCAGCAGCTAGACTGCCAGCCACATACACCCGCAGGTTCGAATCCAGCCCAGGCCTGCCAACCAACAATGACAACTACAGTCAAAAATAGCCAGTGTTGTGGCAGGCGCCTGTAGTCCCAGCTACTTGGGAGGCTGAGGCAAGAGAATCGTTTAAGCCCAAGAGTTGGATGTTGCTGTGAACTGTGATGCACGGCACTCTACCCAGGGCGACAGCTTGAGACCGTCTCAAAAAAGAAAAGAAAAAAGAAATTGACCTAGGCATAGGAAATGGGGGTTCCCTGTTCAGCCATAAGTGCAAGTGGAAGGAGACACTAAGGCGCTGGTGTCTCCCCAGCAGTTGTCTGGCCCCTCTGCCTACTGGAGCCTCCAGTGGGGGCTCCCCCTTGCCTACTCTCCAGCCCTCTGGTTCCTCTGCTGGCTGCCACCCCACCAACACCACCGAGGTGGAGGCAGCAGGTCTGCCCCTCAGCTCCACCCAGCTGGCTGGGGAGCGGCCTGTCCTGTATCAGCATTATACTTACATTGGACATGGTCTAAGGAAGAAGGAATGAAGAGGAAAAACTAAAGAAAAAGGAGGGATAGAGGGGTGTGCTCTAGGCTATTGAAGGAAAGTCTTTCTCTTAGCGCCAACGATCTTATTTTTTTACCTCTGTAAGAAATTCTTCCGGCCCTTACCGTCTGCAATTTTTGGTGTCTGGTAATGTAAAGTGCTTGCATTTGGACCAAGAGAAAATTGTCGGTATCATAAGAGAAAGATAGTATAAGAGCTTATTATTTTCCCTCTTGTGCCTCAAGAGCTTTGGAGAACAAGAGGTCATTTGTTTATACTGAGACGTGTGCGCCTTGCCAAGTGCCTATCTGCCCAAGTTTCCTGTCTGCAAGAGGTTTTACTCTTCTGGTGATTGGCAGGCAGCGATTCAAGACAGAACAAAAGACAGCAAGGGGCGGTTAACTGAGGCATGTAGAAACGTAGCTAGTTAACTCTTGGACTAAACTCTACATGAAAAATTGTAGGAGAGATGGGAGAAAATTTACAAACAATCAGAAATAAGAGAGTAGTGAGAGTGAAAAGATTGAACTTGACCAAGAAAACTAGAGAAGCCCATGTAAGGATTTGGAGGATGGACCCGGTGGGTCTAGCACTCCGGGAGGTCGAGGCCGGTGAATTGCCTGAGCTCACAGTTCCAGACCAGCCTGAGCAAGAGAAAGACCTGGTCTCTAAAAATAGCCGGATGTTGTGGCAGGCCCCTATAGTCCCAGCTACTTGGGAAGCTGAGGCAAGGGAATGGCTTGACCCCAAGAGTTTGAGGTTGCTGTGAGCTATGATGCCACAGCACTCTACTGAGGGTTACAAAGTGACACTCTGTTCCCCCCCCCAAAAAATGGAGGATGGAATAGCATGATTAAAACGATACTGCCTTTGTGAAGAGGACTGGGAAAAGGAAGACTAGAAAGCATGAACTTGGTTCTAAGTAACCAGAGTTTGAATAATCATCTTGTGTCTCACAAATGCATTACCTCCACTTTCTAATCTACCATGGGATGAAAAAGTATACCCATTAAACAGAAGGTGCCCTCACCTCCCAGGCCTGGGCTGCCAAATGAATGGGCAGACTACAGGGAGCTGACTGCTCCCCAGGGATATGACCTCCTATCTCTCTACCCACCCCACCACCCTCAACCTCCAGGACATGGGCCCCCTCCCATAGCACTCTTCCCCTAAGCCTTCCTAGACAGAAATTCCAACTGTGCCACTGAAGTCCTTGATGAAGGCTCCCTGTGGGGCTCCCTCCATTGACCTGTCAGCCTCAGCAAGTAAAGCATTGCCAAAGGCTAGAAGATGCACCTCTCCTGGAGCAACCAGTATATGACTATCACCACTTTCAGTCGCCTTCTAGGCACCAAGCTGGGCCCAGAGATAAAGCAGCCATGTGTACCATCCACATGAATGAGTAGCAGGTGGCTACCCAGCTGATGTGAGCAACACTATCACCCTCCAGAAGCCTGGTGGCCCATTCCAGCCTATTTCACGTGTGTCAGGGGCTCTAGGAGTTTGTTAATTGGCCCATCTAAACCATGTTCATCATCTACCCTCTCACCCCCTGCAAGATGCATAAACTCCTGGGCAGCTTCGTGTGAGTCATCCACTGGGCAGGGCTAGTTTTCCCCAAGGCCAAAGCCTGTGAGACAGGTGAGGATAGGTACCACCAGCCTCCCTGCCTGCCACCTCTGGCCAGCCCTGTACACCTTCTCCTATGCAAATAGGGACATTTTTATTTCTTTTTTTCCAATCCCTATGTCTTTTGTTTCTTTTTCTTATCTTGTTGCACTGAGTAGGATTTCCAACACCAAGCTGAGTAGAAGTGAGGGTAGATTTCCCTTGCCTTATCCCCTGATGTTAGGGAGGAAGCATTCAGTTTGTCAGCATTAAGCAAGCTATTAACTGTAGGTTTTTTGTAGCTGCCCTTTATTAGGTTAAGGAAATTCCCTTCTCTTCCAAGTTTGCTGAAAAATAGACTGGATATTGAACATTTTTTGTGTGTGTGATACAGAGTCTCACTTTGTCACCCTCAGTTGAGTGCTGTAGTGTCACAGCTCACAGCAACCTCAAGCTCCTGGGCTCAAGCAATTCTCTTGCCTCAGTGTCCCAAGTAGCTGGGACTACAGGCACCTACCACAATGCCGAGCTATTTTTTGGCCCAGGCTGGATTCAAACCTGCCAGCTCCAGTGTATATGGCTGGCACCCCAGCTGCCTGAGCTACAAGCACCCAGCTCCAGCTGACACATTTTTTTTTTTTTGAGACAGGATCTTGCTCTCTCTCCCTGGCTAGAGTGAAGTCATCATAGCAACCTCAAATTCCTGAGCCCAAGGCCTGGCATGGTGGCTCACATCCGTAATCCTAGCACTCTGGGAGGCTGAGGCAGGTGGATTGCCTGAGCTCACGAGTTCGAGACCAGCCTGAGCCAGAGGGAGACCTTGCCTCTAAAAAAAATAGCTGGGTGTTGTGGCAGGAACCTGTAGTCCTAGCTACTTGGGAGGCTGAGGCAAGAGAATGGGCTAAGCCTAAGAGCTGCAGGTTGCTGTGAGCTATGACACCATGGCACTCTACTGAGGGTGACAAAGTGAAACTCTGTCTCAAAAAAAAAAAAAAATCCTGAGCTCAAATCATCCTCCTGCCTCAGCCTAAAGTTGGAGGGGGTCTCTTGCTCAGACTAGTCTTGAACTCCTGGCCTCAAGAACTCCTCCCACATCAGCCTACCAAAGTGCTAGGATTATAGGCATGAGCCACCATGCTCAGCTAGATATTGAATTTTAACCATTTTTTTTTTGCATCAACTGATATGATGTTTTTTCTTTTTCCTTTTTTGAGACAGAGCCTCAGGCTGTCACCCTGGATAGAGTGTTGTGGCATCACAGCTCACAGCAACCTCCAACTCCTGGGCTCAAGCAATTCTCCTGCCTCTGCCTCCCAAGTAGCTGGGACTACAGGTGCCCACCACAACACTCAGCTATTTTTTTGGTTGCAGCCGTCATTATTGTTTGGCAGGCCTGGGCTGGATTCGAGCCCACCAACTCAGGTGTATGTGGCTGGCGCCTTAGCCTCTTGAGCCACAGGCGCCGAGCCATTATGTTTTTTCTTAAGACTATTAATATGTTGGATTACATTGATTTTCAAATATTGAAGCAGTCTTGTATTTCCAGACTAAACTCCACCTGGTTGGTTGTTTTATAAAAAAAGTAACAATTGGGCCTATCAGAGTGGCTCACGCCTATAATCATAGCACTCTGGCAAGCCAAAGCAGGATGATCACTTGAAGTCAGAAGTTCAGACCAGCCTGAGCAAAGTGAGACTCTGTCTCTACTAAAAATAGAAAAGTTAGCCAAGCATTGTAGTGAGCATGTACAGTCTCAGCTACTTGAGAGACTGAGCCAAGAGGAGCTCTTGGGCCCAACCAAGAGTTTGATGTTGCCGTGAGCTATGATGATGCCATG